TATGGGGCTATAGAGGTGTAGTGGGAAGAGTGTGGTGTATAAGGTTTATGATGCGGGAGGTTGGCGGTTCAAGTCTCTGCAAGAGCGGATCAAATTGTTCTACAACGAATTATCATCACGAATGGCACTTGATAGCGTCACGAATAGTGCCTACCATGACATTAAAGTGTCACTGAAAGGTTTTAGTCTTGATGGTGTAATGACACTTATATGTGTCACTAACTCTTTTTTTAATGTGCCACAAATAATATCTACCATGACATTAAAATGTTATTGAAAGTTTTTAGCCATGATGGTGCAGTGACACTTGCAAGTATCTACTGTGGCACCGATAGAAGTGGCACTTGTTCAAAATGCTACAAGACCAAAAAATGTCATTAAAAGAATAGTTTTGTGGCACTTTCAAATGTCACTAAACTAAGAAAATGTTGTAATGTGTACAATGTGTTGTGGTTAAAATTCGTATGCGTAAAAGTATATTAAAATATGTATAAATAAATAAATAAAAATATATAAAATGTGCATTAAAATTTTTTTATTTTTATTTTATTTGATTGTTAATGAACTACTTATTTTATTTGGTGGACTAATTTCCTCAAAATTAAGAATTTGAACCCCGTTTTGAAAAATCTAAATACCCTTGAGATATTGATTCATGATTATATTTCAATTTAAAACAGTGAATATCAATTTCAATCAAACAATCAACGACAAATCAAAACAATGATTTAACGTGGAAAAAATTATAATTGAAGCACCTCTAGTTATGATAAAAAAATCACGGGTCAAAACCACAAAACAATCTACTAAGAAGACGAAAATGAATTATACATGAGTATTCTTAATTACCTAGCGAATCCACGCTTAAATTGAACCAAACCCAATATGCCTCTTCCACCGCCGTATTCACATCGAAATTGTTTTGCCCAACGTTGAATTCATAATGCCAATGTTGAATCTACAATGATGAGCCACTCCGGAATCCACCAATGCTTCAGACCCAAGTTCTCTGGAATCTCCTGATGAACACCTCTCTCTTTTTGTGAATAAACGAACACGGGTCAAAACCACAAAATAATCCATTAAGAAGACAAAAATAAATTATACATGAGTATACTTAATTACCTAGCGAATCCACGCTTGAATTGAACCAAACCCAATATGCCTCTTCCACCGCCGTCTTTACATTGAAATTATTTTGCCCAACGTTGAATTCATAATGCCAATGTTGAATCTACAACGATGAGCCACTCCGGAATCCACCAAAGGTTCAGGCCCAAGTTTTCTGGAATCCCTTGATGAACACCTCTATCTTTTTGTGAATAAACGAACAAAATCATCCCTTGATGTTTATCAATATGTAGTTCGTTTATCAATTGATCACCTTCTATATATCAAGAAAACTCATATAAACCACCCTCCAATGTAAAACACTTTGTAGTTTACTTCTCTCTGATAATTTGAACAGATCCAACCCTAAAAACAACAAACGACGCATTTTATACTAAACAGAGCCGTGAATACTGCTTGAGCGCACACTTCGCTGCTCAAGCAGTGTGAGTGCAGGCGGTGCAAAAAATATAGCCCAACTGCTTAAGCGCAACATCTACCGCTCGAGCGATGAAACATATTTATCAGAAATTCAGTTTGCAGGCAGAGATACTATATGATTCACTTCATCGCTTAGGCACACAAATGATCGCTCGAGCCGTCAAATAACTTTGGCTTTGATTCCTATACATAATCAGTGAAGTGACAAACAAGTAATGCTCAAAATATAGAATGTAACACAAATTCCTCTACACAGACACAATTCGGGTTGGATTCATATCTAAACACGCATATACTCACTGAAACAAAAGAGTGAATAAAATAACAATTAAAAATAGTTTTGTCAAACGAAATTGTCGATTACAAAAACCTAACATGTTCAAATTTTTAATAATAATAATTTAAAGATATATATTATGTTGCAATTCAACATGATCAATTCAAGTATTTAACAAATATTTAGTCTTATTTGAACATAGTCGAGAAAGTTGAGTATTTTGCTTGGTAACATTGTCCAAAAACATGTACTTAATTTTATTTTACAAAAGAATATAAATAAAAAGTTTAATTTAGGGCGCATAAATATTTTGAAAGTATATGAAAAGAAAAAATACATGCTTGTGAATTACGGGCAGTGGTGGCTGTCAATAAGAAGGTGGCAACAAACACCAGGGAGTAATAGGAGGGTCACGGAGAGTGGTTGAGTTTGGTTGAAGGTGGTGGGTAGTTGATGATGGGGAGATGGCTGGATCTGGTGGTGGTCAGAAGTGGTGCCGAATGAGAGAATGAAAACTTATTTTGAAAAGAAAATAAAAGGTCTATTTTTAATTTGAAAATAAGTGAAATTTTTAGGAAATCTTGTTTGGTTTTAGAAAATTGAGTGAACTTTTCAAAAAATTGAATTTTTTATTTTTTGGATTTTTTCGTTTTTTGTCAAAACATTTAATATTTTAATATTTATTTTTTTATTTTTTAGATACATCTAATCTGAATACACTTAAAAAGTATAATATTTATGAATTTTTTTTTAAAAAAAATCATCAAATACAAAAAAAAAAAAATTAAAATTCAATATATATATTTTTTATTTTTGTGTATTTATTGAATTTTTAAAATATTTTTTCATAAATATTTTACTTTTTGGGTGCATCTAAGTTATGCGCACCTATACAGTAAAAAGTTTATTTAAAATATTTAAACAAATTCACTAAAAAAAAAATCAAAAAACAAAAGTTTCAATATTTAGAAAATCAATCAAAACCAAACAACACTTTAAAAAAAGGAAAATTTACCCATAAGTCCTAGTTTTTGAAACGTTGAACCATTTAGTTCTAAAAGTTTTCTTATGCTCCATTTAGTCTCATTTTTACATCAACATGATGTGAATGATGTAAATGATCTGATGTTTCATTATATAATTTCAAAATTTATTGAAATCTAATGAACATTAGATGTTTTTCATCCTATATTTTCAAATATTATTGAAATTTTATGAACATTAAATGTTTGAAATCCAATATTTGTAACATGACTATGATGTTATTAACATTGTATCTGATGTTATTAACATTGTAATGGGACCTTTCAGTCTATAAGAAAACTTTTAGGACTAAACAGTGCATAAGTTATTAATTTGGGATTTATTGATGCATCCCCCTTAAAAAAACAACATATAACCAAATGTCTTTTTGCTTCAAATTTTCAATTTTCTTTTATAAAACAAAACAAGCGACAGGACACGAAAGTATTAACCAAATGATAATATAATCACCCTGTTTGATTGGGAGTTTTTAAAAATTATTTTTTGAGATTTTAATCCATTTTTTAAAATATATTTTTGGTGAATTTTTTAAACATTTTAATCAAATTTTTTAAATAACCTTTTAGGTCCATTTAATCTAGATAGATACACTTAAAAAAGAATAAAATTTATACATAAAATTTTAAAAAAATCGTTAAATAAAGCAAAATACGAAAATATACTAAAATTTTGTATTTTTTTGATAAATTACAAATACACCCCCTGAGGTTTACTTAAATTACAAATTATCCCCTCTGCTTTTATAAATTATATTATGTCCCCTAAAATTTCTAATTTCATAACAAATATGTCATCTTATTAATAAATTATCAAGTTAATTAACAGTTTCTAATAATATTAAAATTTTATTTCAATTAATAATTCAGATAATTTATTATTATATAGGTGAACATCAAAATACAAAAATATACTAAAATTATCTATGTGGAAAAATCTTGAAACTATTTATATATATTTTTTGTATTCAAAGAATAAAATTTATACACAAAATTTTTAAAAATTCATTAAATACAGCAAAATATGAAAATATACTATTTTTTTTTTTGTATTCAATAAATTTTTAAAAGAATTTTATCTATGTGAAAAAATCTTTAAAATATTTTTATATATTTTTTGTATTCAGTAAATTTTCGAAGTAGCTTTGGAGGGTAATTCTCGCTTATGGAGCATTACGTGGAAAATTTTTAATTCAATCATTTTGTATTACATCAATTCAAGGACTGTAAAAATCTCTCTCGTTCACTTGTTCAACAGCTCCGTGGTAGTATACTTTAAAAAAAGAAAAAAAAAAATAGAGAAAATTATCTTGGAGTTTTAAGTGGACTTGTCAACCCCATACACTTGCAACCAAAGTCAAGTCACACTAGAGTGGCTGGCAGGAGGCACCTTAGTTCTGCTTTTCTTTCTTGGTTGCCTTGTCTGATGGATGTCACCTAGAAACCTTTTTTTGATAAGTCAGCTGCTGGTTGTTTGGGTTTGATCTTAAGGCTAGTTTGTGAATTATATATTTTAGTTAAAAAATTAAAAAAATTATTATAAATTATTATATCAATTTCTTTATTTTTCTATATATTTTTTCATAAAAAATTAAAAAATTATTAAAATAACTTGATGTAAAATGAGGTATTAGTGTTGTTTGGGTTTGGCCCTTTTGTTGTTTTTTCATTGTCTCATGTCTAATATTCATAAAATATTATTTTTTTACCAATAAAAAAAATGTCCATCATACCTTAAGCAACCGCCTATATAAACCTAGATCACCTATTATAATACCCAAAATTAAATTTATAAAATTATGTAGTTTTTACCACTTATCTTGAATATTAGCTAAAAATTAACATATATATCAATTGTTAGTTTTTACAACTTATTTTTATTTATTTTTTTTATCAGCAAAGAAAATTTTTATTGATAAAGAAGTCATACATTACATATGAGATTATTACATCAATAAAGATAAGAAAGAAAAAAGAAAAAGAAAGGAAACCAAGCATAGTGTTGGTGAGAAACCAACACTAGCTCACAAGACCGCTAACACTTGATGCCACCACCCATAAACTAGTTAACAAAGCTTATAACCCACTGAATGGAAACTTATCTAATGGAAAAGAACTATTAAAAGGGGAAATAATTGGAAAAAAATAAATTATAAGCATAAAACAAACCACATAAATGATAACATATAGAGCAACTTGAGTACAACGGTTATCTGATATGTATTTTTTTGTGGTCTGTTCAGTGGTTGGTCCTATGTTTATAGAATTATTATACTAGATGAGCTTACAAGGTTAAAAGAATTGTCTGTTGAAATCCATCAACGACCAACTGGGTCCATGAGCTCCGAAAATTCTGCACCGAGTGTTGCATTTGAATTTCCAATGCCACGAGCACAATATTGAACATCAATGGTCACAAACTCCTCACTTGCAATACACGTTTTTTCCTCTACTGTATTAGCTTCCTGTTGTTGCTGTGCTAATTCCAAGTACCACAACACATCGCCCATCGTGGGTCGTTCACTTCCTCTACCTGCCAAACACTTCTTTGCTAATTCCACAAATGTCTTAAAACATTCTGGGTCAATCTTTTCCTTCAAAAACGGGTCTATAATATGATGAAGGGTCCCTGATTGATGACAATGTAAAGCCCACTCAGCCAAGTTGGCTTGTTCTAGCTTGTCTTCCTCTTCTTCCATCACCATTGGTAAGACTGCCGGTCTGGCACACAATACTTCCATCAATACCACACCGAAAGAGTACACATCTGACTTTTCTGTCAACTTTTGACAACGGTAGTATTCTGGATCTATGTACCCGAAACTACCCTTCACTACAGTGCTAACATGAGTGCAAGACATGATTTTAGGCCCAAATTTGGACAACCCAAAATCTGAAACCTTAGCTACCCAACTCTCATCTAAGAGAATATTTGTCGTCTTCACGTCACGGTGAATGATGGTCTGCTTTGCATCAACATGAAGGTAGTTTAACCCCCGTGCAGCACCAATGCAAATCTTGAGTCTCTCCTTCCATTGAAGTGGGGGCTTCTGGGTGTTATATAGGTGATCACGTAAGGTACCTCGAGCCATGAATTCATACACTAGTATCATCTCTTTTTCATGGACGCAATACCCAATTCGAGAGACAAGGTTGTTGTGCTTGAGTTTGGTTAGTATGGTGATTTCAGTGTGGAACTCGTGTAGACCTTGATGTGAGGTTGGACTCCCACGCTTTATCGCGACAGAGGTGGCACCACCATCGATGTACCCCTTATAGACCTTTCCAAATCCACCAGCACCAATTAGATTAGCATCAGAGAAGTTATTTGTAGCTGATTTAATCTCAACAAGTGTGAAGTAACGACAGTGATCTGATGATGCCAATTTGAAAGTTCTCCTTTGCAAATTTGAGTGAAATGGGAACCACCTGATCAGAAATTGCAAAAAAATGTAAAATAGAAATGTTAACCCAACCAAAGTATAAAATGGAATGAATACCATCTTTGGATTATTCTGTAATAATCTATTTGACATTCCAAATGGGTGTGTTCTCTTTCCAAATGGAAAAGGCCCTGCAAGATTGTAGGCGTGGTCTGATAGCTTGAAGATTTCCAAGCCATTTAAGATTGGCCCATTCAGACTTTCTGTGCTCTTTAATGCCAAAGACAGAAACATCTCTTGGCTATTTTTTGTGACATTAACAATGTAATCTCTGTACACTGGAACGCCGACTCCACCACTCCAGTGTATCACGTCTGCATAATTCTCAACAATTTGATAGAATAAGAGGACCCAACAGTTCAGTTTTTATATATTTCTTCGCCTCTGTTTTTCTGGTTTTTTGCCTCTGTTTTCAGTGTTATTTTTTTTTTATCTCCAACAGAATAGCCATGTCATATTACAATGCCCGTTGTCCTCCATGGTTCTAGCTGTAGCATAGATTTGCTGTGGCGCAATGTATGCAGGCACTGACAAACTATACTTGATATTAACTTTTGGATGAATGATATCAGTGATTTGATTGATAAGGAACGAGAAGTCCTCTGACCAAGCTCGTAACATGCCCGTATCATCTTCAGCATAGATTGAGTGCCCGCCAACATTTAACCTATACATCATTTCCAGGGCTATGGAATTCCCAGTGAAGAACTTGGAATGATGCCCGATGAAGGGCAGTTGGTCATCACCTCTGCGGACATAATAGATGTCTTGGGGCATTGAAACTATCTCAATCTTGTTCACAAAGCCATAGGCACCGGAGGAATTTCTTGATGGAGTGAAAGCTACGTTAATCACCAAATCATCCACGTTAATGCAAAATTCTTTAATGATATATTTAGCATCGGATGGATTGCTAGAATAAGAGGACTCTGAAGTACGTAGAAGAGTGTAATTGGCTACACTGACAGAGAACAAAGCTTTAGACATGTTCAAACCTTCATAACTAGTTGGATAGAAGTGAAGTCGTATGAAATGCATACCAATACTAGATACTGCAAATGTGAAACTAGATTGCTTTCGAACAATGCAAGCATATAACGACTGAGGGGATTTGGGATCACCTGAAATTTGGGATGCTTTGGACACCTCATGATATGGGTAGTATTCAAAATTAGAATTATTATTGGGACTCCATTTCTGGCCATTAGATAACAAAGTTGCAGCTGTGGAGGCAAGGCATTCGAATAGGAAGTAATCGGTTGGCGTGTAAGGCGATCGGTTGGCCCAAATGGGTACTGTTAGATGGCCAATGTGCATGAGAGCCAGAAACATGATCATTGAAAGAAATGGATATCTGTTTAGACCATTCTTCACCTTCATGGTGTCTGTATGGCTACTAATATGAGGTTGGCGTTGGGATTATGTTATTTGGGCTTGGCCAAATATTTATGCAAATAGAAGGAAAGTTGGGATTCCAAATTTAAAGAGAATTTGAGTATTAAGTCCTGGGTGTGATTATTGAGTATTTATAGTATAGAATGTAGTGGAAATTTTAGCACGTAGTGTTTTACCCATTGGACATGTTACTTATTAATGATAATTTATGAAGATTGTGTTTGGTTGATAAATTTGAGAATAAATTTTAAAAAAGAAATAGAAAAGGTGTATAAAACGTAGTTATATTCCATTCACATTTTACCTTTATTTTTTTTTCTTTATTCCCTTCTAAATCTCTAATCAAATTCATAAATCAAACACAGCGTAAATGTGTATTGTGATTTATCATTTGTCTAGAGTATTACATAACTAATATCATATGATGGTCAATAATTTTTCTTTACATTGAAGTTGGATCTTCAAATTTAAGTTATGTGATTATAAGTAATTGTCTAATAAATATCTTAAATTATCAAAATAAAACGTATAGTGAATTCTACAAATCCGAAGTTCTAATCTACTATAACAAATTGAATGAAACTTATCCTAAACTTTTTAAGGCTCAAGGCTTGGTTTGATTTGATTACTTTTAGACAAAATAATAAGATATTGTTTAGAAATTGCTTATTTAAATTGATTTTTTGATTTTTTTACCAAAAAAATGTTAAAAAAAAAAAGAAAAATAAAAAAATAGAGACAATAATTGACTTTTTTATAATGACTTTACTTTCTAAACAATATCTACAGGAAAATCGCTCAATTGTATCTAAAGTTGTAAACGAACTGAGTCAGGCCAAATTTTACTAAACTCGAGCTCGAGCTTGGCTCATTTATTTATTGAACTTAATTATCCTTCTTGAGTTTGGCTCGACTTGTCGAGTTCAAGCTCCACTCAAAACTCGATAATAAATTATTTTTATTATTTAATAAAAATATTTTTTTATATTATTTTAACATATAAATAATATAATTATGTTCTTATTTATATATATTTTATATTATTTAATATATAAATAATATATTTACTTTATAACTTAAATAAAATAAAGATAAACGAATCAAATTTGATTAGTTGAATTTATTTAAATTTAAGTTTATTAAGAAATTTAATCCAAACTCATTCACTTACTTAACAAATTGAGCTGAGCCGAACGCATGAACACTCTGATCATTTGCAATTTTAATTATATTTAAAAAAAATAAAGTAAATAAAATTTCATTTTCATAACATCAGTCAAAGCTGACAAAATAATCACCACATCAATCAAAGCCTGACAAAATAAGTCTAACTCACCGTCTATCACACGATTTCACCCCTCTTTCCACCACCACCCACACTACACGGTTTCATTTCCTTTTCCACACTGCCGTCCTCTCAAGCTTTGAAATGTTCACCATTTCACTATCTAAGACAATTTTTAATAGGGTTAGACAATTTTTAGTTGTTGTTTGGGATGTTTTATTAGGATTAGAATAGTTATATAAGATAAAATAAGTTATTTTAATTAAATAAGATAAAATGTTATATTTAATTTATAATTATTTTTATTTTTTTTTATTAAAGTTAAAAAAGTTAAAAAGTCTATCCCAAACGAAATTTTTTAGCCTAACGTTAAAATAGTCAAAAAATTAAAAAGTTAAAAAGTTAACTCACATCCCAAACGAGCTCTTAATAGGGTTAGACTTATTTTATGGGTAGAGAATTTGAGTGGTTCGTAAAATTTTGGATAAATTATAAATACACACATTGAGATTTGTTTAAAATATGAATTATTTTCTGTCACTACAACATATAAGAGTGTTTAGAGACTAAATATTTTGGTCTCTTTAAGTGAAAATTTTGTTGTAAAAGACATTTAAGAATTAATTTCTATTTTCATGAGGATAGTCTCTAAAAGATCGTCCCGAAAAGTAAAAACAATGCTTTTAGTAACAAAATTTTAAAAATGTCATTAATAAATAGATTTTTAGAGATAAAATAATTTGGTCTCAAAATGGTTTATTTTTGGAAATAAAAATTTTGGTCCCAAAAGGATAATAATTCATCACTAATATTCAATTTTCGTTGTTAAAAATATAATAACGATATCTTTCGCAACAAAAATATTTGGTCCCTAAAAAATAATTTTGTTCCTAAATTTTGGACTCTAAAACTTTAATTTTTTGTAGTGTGTGGTTTGAAAAAGTAAAATTTTTAACTGTTCGCCTATGCAATAATAAAATTAATTGAAATAAAATTTTAATATTATTAAAAATTGTTAATTAACTTGATGATTTATCAATAAAATGACATATTTGTTATAAAATTAGAAACTTTAGGAGGCATAATGTAATTTCTAAAATCACAATGGGTAATTTGTAATTTAAGTAAACCTCAGGAGGTGTGTTTGTAATTTACCCTAAAAGTTATTAAGGGTCTTATTTTAATAATTTAAATTATTTATTTTATAATTTTTTATATACACCTATTGGACTCTCACGCGCTCCGTGCTTGGGAGTCGCGTTATTGTTGACTAAGAATAAGATGTACCACAATATATAGTATTATTAAGGTATTTTTAAATAATTTTAAAATCGTAATATCAGTCTACAAATAGACTTGATTAGATACAAAAAAAAATTGAATTTGGGAGCGTTAAATTCAAATTAAGTATCATCTCTCTCTCTCTCTCTCTCTCTCTATATATATATATATAAAAGGAACACTTACCAATCAAACCTATTAACTGGACTTATTTACCTATATGTCTTATTGACAAATTTATCACAGTAAATTCATTCATAAAAATAAAAAAGACTGATAAATTTATCAATATGACTTAATGAATAATAAGTCCCAAAAATAGGACTTATTGGTAGTTTATCCTAAAAAAAATTACAAATCAGAAAATCACATTTTAGATTGTCTTATTTGACAGATGGTTTAATCATAAAAATATATAATCTTGTTTGAGTGTTGTTGTTCATTAGTTGCTTGCTTGCGTGATTAGGTTGAATGGGTATAACCAAAGCAATTACTAATTTCTTCATTGTGTTAACCACTCAAAAAAATATTAGAACCAAATAAATCTAGCCCATGCATATTCACTTTGTCCATGTTTGATTTGATTTTTAAAAGCTTGTTTCAATTTTTTTAAACTAAAAATTAATTTGGTAAAATAAATAAAAAATTAAAAATACTTATCACTTTTATATAATTTTATCTTTCGGGAGGTCAAAATTTATTTTTCAAAAATATTTTTTTTGATATTTATTTTTATCAAATTAATTTCAAAATTTTCAATAATTTTTTTTTTCCTCTGAAAACAAGCCAAACCACCCCTTGTTTTTTAACAAAATATATCATTTAAAAACCAAGTATCTAGAGCGAACAATGGTACCTTTAATAGAAAAACATGGTGGCTTTTGGTTGGCTGAGCCAACATGTATACTCAACATAGGTGGCTAAGTTTCAAATGAGATATTATTTCAAAAATAATTTTTTGGAGAGAGTTTAGAAAATTTAAAAATTTGTTTGGTTGTATATTTTGAAAATAGTTTTGGAGTTTTGGAATTTTGGATGATTTGATATTTTTTTATAGTTGAATAGATGGGTATGGGATAATAAGTGATTGAGAATGAGAGAGGAAAGAGAAAAAATGATTGATTGATGTGTAGTAGAGAGAAAAATGATTTTGAAATTTTTTTCTCTAAAATTTTCAACTAAACATGCTTAATTTTTTTTCTCCAAAAACATATTTTGAGAGATAAACAAAACATGCTTATAATTTCTCATATAAATAAATTTACAAACACAAGCATATTCAATTGGTATAAATCTATAACCCATATATAAATCACAACAAAAACACTATGAAACAAACAAATGAAAGACATGCAATCTTAGACACACAAAAAGCCATATAATTATTGTTTAATTGTTAATTAACATTGTCTAAGGCTCTTCTTCAACTTCATGGGCATTAGAAATGGAGCTAATCACAATATATAATTTTTTACTCACCCGAATAAGACCATTTTGATAGTGAACACTGTTTGAAAGAGAAAATTAAAAACCAACATTGTCGTCCAAACTCTGATTGACAATGATGTGGTATAATAGGTGTCAACTTTTAATTTATTACATATTCAATAATAAAAAGTCCAACTCTTATTATATCATTATACCAAACTATAGATCTCTAACATTTTTGAAAAATTTATTATATATTATAGGAACAAAAATACTATAAATCCAAACTTATGAATCCATAATTTGTCCATCAATTTTTTTTTATGGGTAAATTATTGGTTTATTAGTATCTTGTTATATGAAATATTTTGTAGAAAAATTGAAGTGACCACCTCTATGCCGAGGCTACGTGGCTTGATATGTGGCAAAGCTATACATCATTATTTTTATACCAAATGGCCCATCACAATGGTAAGCTGTAATATTATTTGTAGAAATGACATTTTTTTTTCTAATTGGAGCTTGAGACTCAACTTAATGTTTTGCCACTTTTTATACATGTTAGTTGGAAACGCGTGGGGGTCTTGTCACTAAAGGAAGAATTTAAAATTTTATTGGTGGAATGAAAGTATGTGTATAAAAATATTGAGTTAATTTGAGTACATTAATAATTAAATATAATTTCTTCTATAAACATTGTGAAAAAATTATTTTACAATTAAGAAAAATAAATTAATCTAGTAAGTATATTTTTTTTTTTCAAAATATATATAACATTTAAATTTTAAATTTTTTTAAAAAATGACATATACCTCTTGTATTAATAAAATACTCAATAAAATTGATATATTGAGAGTAGTTTGTTTAATGGGCATGTTATTATTATTTTTAAAATTTATAATAAGTTAAATTTTTTTGCAAATGTTAAATGATTTTTTTTTTTAATGAATAGATTATGTGAAACCGTGGTTTCAAATTAAACCAAACTGTATTTAAATAGTTTGGCTTAGATCAATTTCATAATTTTAATGAGTTAATTTTTTTTAA